GGTCAAATGGAGCAAAAATCTCCAAAGAACCTACTCTAAATACACAATACCATAGTCAATAAAAAGGAAACAAAGTGTCTTACAAATACAAAGGCAAAAAGGAACCTATACAAGGAAAACTATGTACAAAAGAACCATGCCTTCTCTTCAAGATATGGTGGTCCACGTGAAGATTACCTTGGGCTTAGAAAGCCCATTAACCTTCAAGCTATCCAATCCCTCCTTTTTTCTCCTGGCCATAGCTTTAGTGATTGGGCTCTTAGCCCATGGTCCATCATCCCCTCCCTCTTGAGAATGATTTGTCCTTAAATCTGTAGGTTTGACCTCCTCCTCATCATAACTTACAAAAGGAATAAGATCACTTATATTAAAAGTATTACTTACTCCATAATCTCTTGGAAGGTCTAACCTATAAGCATTGTCATTGATCCTTTGAAGGACTTGAAAGGGACCATCTCCTCTTGGATTGAGTTTAGACTTCCTTTGTGAAGGAAACCTTTCCTTTCTCAAATCAAGCCAAACCCAATCACCCTTCTCAAATATGAAGGTTTTCTTGCCTTTGCCTCTCTTTAAGGCATATATCTCATTTTGTTGTTGTATATGATTTTTAACCTTCTCATGTAATTTCCTTACAAAATCAACCCTAGATACCCCTTCTTTATGAAAGTAATCAGAAGAATCTGGTAGAGGTACTAGGTCCAAAGGTGTAAGAGGGTTAAAACCATATACAACCTCAAAAGATGAGATTTTGGTAGTCTTATGGACTACACTGTTGTAGGGGAATTTAATATGGGGCAAGTACTCATCCCAAGACTTGTGGTTGCCTTTAAGGAGTGCCTTTAACATAGGGTTGTACGTGCTACTTTTTCTAGCTGTAGTGCGAGGTTTCTAGAGAACTCGTTAACGGTTGGATCATGATGGAATTTGGATGATATCTTTTCAATACATTAATCTTTAATTTCAATGGTCGAATCATCAAAATAAGTTATGTAACGAGAGATATTATCATAATAAAACTACTACCCAACGCGTTGGGCCCCTCAGGGATTGTTTGTCTCGCTCTACTAGACCTTTGTTCTTGTTTGTCTCGCTCTAGTAGACCTTTTTTCTTGTTTGTCTCGCTCTAGTAGACCTTTGTTCGTGATTTCTCGCTTCCTTTCTAGATTTCTAACTTCTTTATTGAATTCCTGTTGATTTTCTTGTTTTATTGCTTCTCTCTTGATTTCTTGCTCTTTTCGTCATTTCTTGCTGTGTTTCTTGATTTCTTCCTTATTTTCCTAATTTCTTATTTCTTTCTAGATTTCTTGCAATATTTTCTTTATTTCTTGCTTCTTTCTTGACTTCATACTATATTTCTTAATTTCTTGATTCTTTTCTTCGTGTCTTGCTTCTTTCTTGGTTTCTTGCTTACCTTCATCATTTCTTGCTTCTCTTAATTCCTTTCTTGCTTCATTTCTTGATTTCTTGTTGTATTTCTTAATTTCTTACTTCTTTCTCGATTTCTTGATGTGTTTCTTGATTTCTTTCTTCATTCTTGACTTCTTGCTATGTTTCCTTATTTGATGCTTCTTTCTTGATTTCTAGCTTATATTCTTGAATTTTTGCTTCTTTCTTGATTTCTTGTGGTATTCCTTGATCTTAGGCTTCTTTCTTCGCTTCATGATTCTTTCTTGATTTCTTGATTCTTTATCGGTTTCTTGCTTCTTTCTTGACTTATTGCTTCATTTCTTGATTTCTTGCTTATTTTCTTGATTTCTTGTTTCCTTCTTGATTCCTATCTTGCTTTGTTGAATTCATGCTTCTTTCTTCATTTCTAGCTTCGTTCTTGATTTCTTGCTTTTGGTTCGTAGCTTCGTTTTTTATTTCTTTTTATATTTCTTGATTTCTTGCTTCTTTCTTCATTTCTTTCACATTTTCCTTATTTTTTTCCCTAATTTTCTTGATTTATTACTTCTCTCTTGATTTCTTATTATATTTCTTTCTTCTTTCTTCATTTCTTATTGTTCTTGATTTCTCCTATCTTTCTTGATTTCTTCCTTATTTTCTTGATTTCTTGTTTCTTTCTTGATTTCTTACAGTATTTCTTTATTTTCTGCTTCTTTCTTGACTTCATGTTATACTTTTTTATTTCTTTATTATTTTCTTCGTTTCTTGCTTCTTTCTTGGTTTCTTGCTTACCTTCATTATTTCTTGCTTCACTTCTTGATTTCTTGCTATATTTCTTCAATTCTTGCTCCTTTCTCGATTTCTTGATGTGTTTCTTGATTTCTATTTTCTTTCTTGACTTCTTGCTATGTTTCCTTATTTGATGTTTCTTTCTTCATTTGATGCTTATTTATCGATTTCTTGCTTATTTTCTTGATTTCTTACTTCTTTCTTGATTTCTTGTGGTATTACTTGATGTCACACGTCTTTCTTCATTTCATGCTTCTTACTTGATTTCTTGATTCTTTCTCAATTTCTTGCTTCTTTCTTGACTTAGTGCTTCATTTCTTGCTTATTTTCTTGGTTCCTTGCTTCCTTCTTGATTCCTATCTTTCTTTCTTGATTTCATGCTTCTTTCTTCATTTCTTGCTTCGTTCTTGATTTCTTACTTTTTTTTCAGCTTTGTTTCTTAATTTCTCGTTGTATTTCTTGATTTCTAGTTTCTTTCTTCTTTTCTTTCATATTTTCCTTATTTCTTGCTTCTTTCTTGATTTCTTGACTACCTTCTTCATTTCTTTCTTCTTCGTGATTTCTCACTTCCTTTCTAGATTTCTAACTTCTTTATTGATTTCTTACTGATTTTCTTGATTTATTGTTTCTCTCTTGATTTCTTGCTATATTTATTGCTCATTTCTTTATTTTGTTTTGGTGTTTCTTGATTTCTCCCATCTTTCTTGATTTCTTCCTTATTTTCTTGATTTCTTGTTTCTTTCTTGATTTCTTATAGTATTTCTTTATTTCCTGCTTCTTTCTTGACTTTATGCTATACTTCTTGGTTTCTTTATTCTTTTATTGTGTCTTGATTCTTTCTTGGTTTCTTGCTTACTGATAAGTTTGGAACATGAATGGATCATCTTGCAAACAGGTAAAGGAACAAAGAGGAATTAACCCTAAATACAACCTGCCTGTAGAACCAAATTTATCAAAATAAAAGTGTGACCCTAACCACGACTTGCGGGTAGCACCAACACTAAAAAGTTCTAATCCAAAAACAAAAGAAACCTCTCACAAAGAGAAAACTCAAATATGTATTGATTTCAAATTTGTCTTAGATGCGTACAAGAGGGTCCTATTTATAAAGTAGGATAACAACCTCTCACTTAATTGAAATAAATTCCCACAGTCTCCACTAGGCATTTAAGTCCCACTATCATTTATTTTCCACTAAGTAGCCTAAAAGACATGGAAAACCATCTAATTTATTTAATAAAAATAAATAAAACCAAAATTATAATAAAAATAATAAAAGGCTTAAATAACTTTTAACCCCAAAAGCTAAGTAAACCATCCAAATATAGTTCAGCCTACTATAGCATTTTTAGTAATTTGTGTTGGGTTGATCAGACTCTTCAATTTATTATTTTTAACTCTTTTTGATGTTCTTCCTTTCGTTGGGCCTTCCATCAATTGAAAATCATATTTTAAAGTATTGGACCTTGACAGGCTCTTATCATTCCCTCTCTCTTCGATGCCATTTGTCCTCAAATCAAATTTGTCTTCTTGCTTTGTATGTGGATCTACTGTCTCATTGAATTGATTTACCCATAAAATCTTTATGTGCAACTCTTCTTTAGGCACCAAGACAAAAGAATTTATAGGATTAGGTTGAAAAGAAGAAATAAATTCACAATGAGTTCCTTCAACCATTTCAGAAATTTGTACTTTTTAAAATTCAAATTCATTTTCATTTAATGCTTTGCATTCCTTCTTTGGAACAACTTCATCAAAACACTTCAATAGAGAATCGTTACCTATAAACAAAGGGTTAGAACATAAAACTTTGCATTCTTTTTCTTCTTTTCTCTCTTTTTCTTTCAACTGATTTTTTCTCATCTCTATTTCTTTGATTCTTTTAATTTCAGGTTCTTTTAATGTCTCCACTCTCTTGTTTTTCTCCATTAACAATGCCCCTTTGAATACTCCCCCTTTATAAGTGTGTTACCTCAGACTTCTAGATCTAGATGCAAATTCAAGATTATCTAATTTTGCATTTAGGAGTTCGAATCTTGTTTCAAACTCCTTCATCAAAAACGTGAGATCAACATCCATTTCTTTTTATAAAAAAGATAAAAAGGTAAAAGATAGATAACACCTGATTCAAGAGTCGAAGCTCTGATACCAAATGATAAGATTTTGGAGCATGAATGGATCGTCTTGAAAATAGGTAAAGGAACAAAGAGGAACTTGATCCTAACCGCGACCTGCCGGTAGAACCAACACTATAAAGTTCTAATCCAAGAACAAAAGAAAAGCTCTCACAAAGAGAAAACTTAGATATGTATTGATTTCAAATATGCCTTGGATGCTTACAAGAAGGTCCTATTTATAGAGTAGGATAACAACCCCTTACTTGATTAAAATAAATTCCCACTAACCCCCACTAAGTCTCCACTAAGCATTTAAGTCCCTCTATTATTTATTTTTCACTAAGTAGCCTAAAAGACATGAAAAACCATCTGATTTATTTAATAAAAATAAATAAAACAAAAATTACCATAAAAATAAGAAAAAGGTTTAAATAAATTTAAAGCCCAAAAGCTAAATAAAACATCCAAATAAAGTCCAATCCACTATAGCATCTTTAGTAATTAGTGTTAGGCTTATTAAGCTCTTCAATTTATTATTTTTAACTTTCTTTGACCTTCTTTCTTTTATTGAGCCTTCCATTAATTAAAAATCATATTTTAAAGTATTGAATCTTCACATGTTCCAATCACCGGATCTCGAGATGAATTCCCTCTCAATAGAACTTAATAACAATAATATATAACATTAATAGTATCAACAATAATATATAACATTAATAGTATCAACAATAATATATAACATTAATAGTATCAACAATAATATAAAACATTGTTTTCTAACCTTAATTGTATAGTTATAGTTATATCAGTAAAACAAGTAAGGAGATAAACACCTATTATAATGCCTATTAATTTATGTTTAGTATTCACCGACACGCAGCCATTTTGTACATGACCACTTATTACCCTTAATCACTGGACAACTACCTGAAAAATATCAAGTAAACAGAAAGTTTTGTTAATTTATCTTCTATGAAATTGAAAGCTTGTAGACTATATATATAATTAAAAAATAAAATAAAATAAAAACTAACCATGCAAACTAGATAGATCATAAGTTGCATCAGGGTTCAAGCTCCAGAAAAGTAAAGCATCACCCATCTTTGGCTTAATTGAAAGTCCTTTTTTACCACATTCAGAAAGCTCATTCCACCAAGGCACAGAGCTGAAATTTCCCTTTGCACGTGGGAACACTGTCTCACCCCCTTCTTCAACATCTGAACTGCATCATTAGAATACAGTAAGTGCATAACATGAGTATCATGTCTTCATACATATCCAAGACAAATTGCATGAAGTTAACAAATTAATAAGTCACTTACAGGTACATGAGCATTGTTGCTATACGCTGGCCCCCATTCGCAGTGTTCACCTTGTCCGTAAAGTAGTCATGATGAGGCACATACATTTGTCCAACTTCATAATGGAGAACTTGAAGTCCTTCACCATGCTCTGCATATTTTCAGACACGTCTTATATATATAGTTATTCGTTTAGTATCGAGGAAAAATAACATTTAACATGTTTTGATACAACCTTAAAAAAGTTGCGCATAAATTCTTTATTGACAAATAGTCTTTAAAAAGAAGTGGCAAAAGAGAGAAAGTACATACCTACAGGTATAAAAGTAACATCTGAAATTCTTTTCTCAATGTCCCTCACAATTTGATCTCGTCCTCTGGCAAGGAAAGTACCAGAGCTTGTCCGTGCACTAAATGCAAAAGATAAGGATTGCAGTCAACAAAATGGTGCAAAGGCAAAAGATATTCATTTCCAATACTTGATAGAGAATTGTAGAGGGCAAATCCAACCTGCTGTCTACATCCTTTCCAGTTTCATCATCAACAACTTTTGACTTATGCATGTCTGGCTTTGCTATATTAATTAGATATTCACATTCCTCCTTGCTCTGTTAAGATTATTCACCCAGATTTTATTATGTCAAAAGTGGAGACACTGAAATATCAATACTCCACTGCGGGAAAAATGACTTACAATTTAGATATTTTGTTCTTACAGATATAATGGCAGCATGTAAAACAAATAATTACTTCTGCATATAAATATTTAGTGTAAGTAAGAACTAAATATTTGTATTTATAATTATTTATTGTAGATAAAACTTAAAAATTCATGAAAAATTAAAGCATCGTCTACGATCATTTAAATGCCCTTAACATGATAGCATGATCAAAGGAAGAGAAGAAGAAGAAAAGCATGCAAAAGCAAAAGCATGCATGTGTTAGAAAAAGTACATTACTTTTTCATCTAAGGACAACGCTACAAAAGAAAAGAAGCAACTAATATTGTGAAAACTTCGTGATATACTTTTGATCTTTATGATATTCTTGGAGAGTTTTCTTTGTGAAACCAAGAAGTAAAAAACTTTGTGAAATGCTTTGAGAAAAATCATCATCATCACTACATTCTTGGAAAAAGGAATAAAGATTGGTCAAGAATTCACAGTCTGATTTGTTCAATTTTTAGGTGAATTTGTTCCTTAAATCTTTTTGTTTATTGTGTAAAAATCTTGAGTAGGTTTCTCAAGTGGTAAGGAATTCTTGTAGTGGGTTTCTACAAGAAGTGTTTTCTTGGGTGCAAGAAAGGGTCTATCTTGTGTGTTGAAGTCTGTGCATGTGTGGTATGCTTGTAAAACTTCTTCATTAAGATAGTGGAACAAATCTTGATCAGGTTATGATTGAGGACTGGATGTAGGTCACATGTGGAGTGGTTGAACCAGGATAAAACACTTTGCATTCTTCTCTCATCCTTATCTCTTACATTGAACAACCTTCAATTAAATGTTAAAATGCATGGTCTTGATTAATATGCTTGTATGATTAAAATGGTTTAACTGAAACACAAGCACTGCATATAAATTATTTTTAAACTGATTCAATAAAGATTAATCAAGAAATCATATAGGAGTCATTCCCATATACTAAGAGGTTCAATATGTTAAGTCAGACAAATCAATTCCCAGCAAGGTTTTGAATGAGACAAATATAATGCATATTGTTATTTCTAAAAAGTGCGTTAGTGTTTCAGAAAAATATAAGTACATACAAATTGAAGAATAGAGTATATGCATGTACCACTTTCTACACCAGAACCAAGATAAAAGTGAGCTAAGGACCGAATGAAGTCTGATCAAAAGATGGATAAAATCACAAGATAAAGCTACCCACAAACTACAAGCTTTGCATTACAGCAAATTCAATCCTTCCTTCCCAACACAGACACAACGCAAAATAAAGAACAAAGCATGAGCAACCAAGATAAAGGGTAAAAGCTACAAGGCATCAGATGAAGAGATTAAACAAAACCAAGCCCAGCACAAGAAGGAAAATAATGAAACCTCAGATGATACAAGACCACAGACGATAGACAATCTAAGACGAAGCATCCTAGAAGGAGACTCAAATTTCCAAACGCAAACGAAGAATGATGAAATGCGTTTGAAGTTCACTAAGTCACAATGTGAAGTATTGCTTATCATCCACACTCCTAGAGGAACACATGAAGTCATCAAAAATAGAAGAAGAGAGAAAAGAAAAATGGACTAACATGTATCCATAAGTCAAAGTTGCATGCGTCAGAGCAAGTACACCTACCATTCAATAAAAGACAATGCCCTTGCAACTACAATGCTAGGAAAGTACAGATATTCCTAGGTTATGATTGAAGTCAGACATAGATGTGAACAAACGGTACAAAAGACTTCACGTCACACAAATTCAGCAAGCAAACATTTAATGCAAGATCAAATGCATTAATTACAAGATCTGCGAAGCCTGGACGAACTAAACAAGAAAATCAGATGATGGTTGGTCAAGCAACAAGATTAGGTCTGACCAAAGATAGAAGAACATTCAACAAACACTAGACAAGGCCTACTACAAACCTTGAAGTATCAGACGAAGGGCCAAAACAAGGCTAAATCTAGAACAAGACAAAAATGGGTTAAACATCATATGAAGTCCATACAAATATTAGATGAAGCCAAGTGGTCAACTCAGATGAAGAACATTCAAGGCAAAGCACATAATGAGAATCAGACAAATCAAGCAAACTGAATAGATAAAGTATGGTATGTTCACCAGACGACTACGAGCCTAATGTCAGATGAAGGTGTGTCAAGGACAACCTCAAGTGCAACATAAGAAATTAGACGGAGCATTGATCAAGACTAAAATAAAGTCAAAGCATCAATGTCAAATGCTCAGACGAAGGTCAAGTCTTGAGACGCGTAAGACTATCAGATGCAGACGAAGACTGTCACGCAAGCCTATGAAGAATCAAGTCTTAAAGGAAAAATTAAAGCATCGTCTACGATCATTTAAATGCCCTTAACATGATAGCATGATCAAAGGAAGAGAAGAAGAAGAAAAGCATGCAAAAGCAAAAGC